ACGTAGTTAGGGTAAAATGTAATACTCTGTCACTTAACTTCCCATTTGACCCATTTTAAAGTTGTTTCAGTTTTAGCATTTTCTGCTTTCTCTGTGACTGAAGTTTTCTGTTTTCTAGTTCATTGTTGTTAGGTTACTTGTTTGTTTATTTGCTCGCTTCTCTATCACTTTGTATGATTGTGGTTATGACTGCACAGATCTTAATATGATCGAACAGTTAAATTGTATGATATGTGCAGTATATGCCAATAAAACTTCTGGAAAAAAGAAAAAGAATAGGTGTTGGATTTTTCAAAATGTTTTAAACTTCTCTTTAGGTAATTCCAGGTTTTCACTCCATTTTTTGTCAGTATAAGGAAATGCAATGCTAGATCTCCAAGTGTAGATTCAACCATTAAATTCCTATCATAAACCATATTTAATTCTGATTATATTATTCTTTCAATGTGCCTGGATTTCATTTCTTAATGTTTCTTTTTTTTTTCCATATTTGAAATAAACTTTTATGCCCTTAAAGATGCCATTCCATTCCAGTTTTACTTCTCCCCCTTGTTTAGCCGCTCGGATCAATATTTAGATCTAAGGGGTAAGAAATATGGAAGGCTTTCTCTCTCTCTCTCAGTGAAGCAATTTTTTATTTTATTTATGCATTTTTTAAAGTTTTGTTTATTTTTTCCTGTTAAACCCTCCATTTTTGTCACACACACACACACCCTCCATCCCTCCATTCTCCCTAGTCCCACTCCCATCCCTGGTATCTGCAGAGTGGTCAAAGTTTTGTCTATTGGTGGATAAACCACATTTCATCTTCTTTGTTTTTCCTTTTAACAATGATGATGCTAAATATTTATCTTTGTAGATTGACTGATTTTGCTAAGCTAAGGTGCTCTAGTTTTGTCCATGTCCTGCGGTATTTCAGAGTCGTCATTGTGTTTATTGATGCAGACCACTCAATAGTATGAATGTACCAGACCTGGTTTATCCATGCAATTCTACAGCCCCACCAGCAATATAAAAGCATTCCTATCCATCCACATCCCCCCCCAACATTTGTTATTTTCTGCTTTATTGAATTTTGCCCAAAGTGTCGGTGTAAGAATGAGATCTCATTTTTGTTTTAATTTGGATTTCTCTTATTGCTAATGACTGTGAGCATTTCTTCAGATGGTTGTTAGATGTCTGTACGTCATCTTTGATAAATTGCCTATTCATGGCTGGTGCCCAGTTTTTAATTGGATTATTTGTATTTTTCTTGTTAAGATATTACAATTTTCTTTAGATTTTTGAGATTATCCCTTTATATAATGTATTAAATAAAGGGAATATTTTTCCCCAATCTGTGCGTTCTCTGATTGATGACTTTTTAATGAAGTCTTTTTTGTGCATAAATGTTCTTTATGTTGTCTTCTATAATATGGATATTTTTATTATGTTTGTTAGTGTGTCTATGCCTTGTAAGTTTGTCCCTATTTTGTCATTGATGGTCTTATAATTGTGTGATTTATAGTTATGCCTGTGATCCATCTCGAATTTCTTTTTGATTTCAATTTCAATTTCAATTTGATTTCAATTTCTCTTCATTCAATGAGAGGCAGGCTATTAGTTTCGCATATATAGCTTCTATTTATGTTGAGAAATTTTTCTTCTATACCTATTTTGCTGAGTGTTTTTATCAGGAATGGATGTTGAATTCTATCTAATGCTTTTCTTCATCAATTGCTATAATCATATGGTTCTTTGTTTATGTGATAAGTTACATTGTTTTCGTAATATTAAATTATCCTTGTATAGTTGGTATGAATACCACTTGATTGTGGTGCATTGTTTTTTTTTGATGCTCAATTGCATTCTATTGGCTAGTATTTTATCGAAGATCTTGCATGTATATTCATTAGAAAGATTCTGACAACCAAAAGCATTTCTCTTAATATGCTTGTAGATGTTCCCATCAGAAGTAAACCAGAGGATGTTTTTGTTTTTAATGGGATTCTGTGGTTTAGGAAAATATGGTAAAGTTAAAGTTGCATTTTTTTAAGTTGCATTTTGTTTTGTTGGTTTTCTCCACTTCAGAATTTCAAACCATGAAAAGGCTAAAAGGAACAATTTAAATAAAAGCAGCTTAAATGTAATGCCTTAAACCATTATCTGTAGTCTCACTAATATTTACTTTGTTTTTATAGGGACATTTTGGATCGATGGGGCCTAATGGAGAACCAGGGATTCCAGGATATAGGGTAAATATTTATAATTGGAAAATGACAGTGTATAGTCGCCTGAAAGCAGTGATACTAATGATGTCATCTGAAATATGCAAACTAAGATGAGATGTATCTGATAAAGCCACCTCCTTATAGAATGAATTTTATATTTCATCTCAGAATATAGTAATTCAATTCAATGGGTTTGGAAGTATTAGAGCACGTATGAGCGATATAAGAAATTTCTATGTATTTGTCTTTTTCTTAGGGTAATCAAGGTCAACCAGGACTTCCTGGGATGCCAGGACCCAAAGGAGAAAAGGTATGTATATATACTGCCTTTTTAGTCCTTAAACCTTGAATTCACCAATTCTTTCTGAAAGAATGAGTAGAAATATTCTCCAGGAATAAAAGAAGCATTTTTCAACTTGGGAAGTATTACAAATTCTAGAAGGAAAAAAGAAAGAGCAGTACCAGGGAGCTTAAATTTATGCTGTTCAAAATGGAGGTAAAACAATAGATGTGCATTGGCTAGCTAGGGCTTCTGAAGACTATAAATGCAAAATGAATTGTTTGTTGAAAAAGCTTGTGATGTTCTAGGCTGAATGACTACTTAGAATACATTTAAATTAGAATGTTCTGACGACTTTGGAATAGCCACAACAGGAATCTTGATTTGCAAAAACTTTGAAAAGCTAAACTTATTGAAAAAATTGTTCACCTGGTTTTTAAAATATATAATTAAAGCAGACCTGTGCTTCTAAATCTACAACTGCATGCGAAATATAGTAAGCTTAATTTCTCTGTTAACTAGTTTCTCTTTGTTTCTCGATTTAAAAAAGTAAAATCAGATTGCACATTTCCTACCATATTAGAAAGTAATAAGCTACATATTTCAGAGGTTATTTTATTAATTTATGTTTCCAAATCATCATTTGCATTTCAGGGCTACTCAGGAGAAGACAATACCATTCTGGGACCACCTGGGCCTCGAGGTGAACCAGTAGGTCTTTTTCCAAAATTATTTTGATGCTTCCAGATAAAATGCAATTTATTGTAGTAGATTCATAGCACTAATTTCTTCTTTTCAAGGAGCTTTATTTTCTTAGTTTCATAACATCATTTGATAGAGAAGTATGATCTGTGGTCAAAAAATCTAAATAGCATGAACTTAAATATAAAAAAAAATTTATAACCAGCTCAAGATCCTTAGCATAGCCCCAGGACCCAATACATTGACTTCCAGAGACTGACTCTGAGCACTGAGTGGATGATAACAGTTTTGTAGATATTATCCAAAAATGGCACACCGTAGATATTTTAGGGCATGTATTCCATAAATCATCAAATTCATATTAAACAATAGCATGTCAGGTGAATGATAAAATAGAATTAATGATTAAATACTTTTTAAATATTTAAACATAACCCTATATAAATAAACATATTAAGTAATGGCTCAAAATTCCTTCTTAAATCATTTCTCTTTTTAACATTAAATAAAAGTGTAAAATTCAAAAATCCCAAATTTTCATTTGAAATTTATTTATTCAATATTTTTCCTGGCAGAGTGATTATGTATTTAGTATATTTTAATGGTATTCTTGATGGCACTGAAATTCAGCCTTTAGAAATATTACTATGCAATTGGTTTATGCCATTATTTAATTTTTGGCAAAAAGAATAATTAATACTCATGTCATCATTTTCCCTTGTGAATACTTACAGATCCAGCTGTGAAACTGATGTTTGTTTGTTTTCTTCTGTGGCCACTGTAGGGTCCAATAGGGGAGAGAGGAGAGAGAGGAGAGGCTGGCGCAGAGGGGTATAAGGTAATTGTTGCTGTTGCCCTTCTTATTTTACTAGAGTTCTCTGTGGTTCTGTTCAGTTTCAAATGAAAATAAGCATAGCTAGTTGATGTACTTTTTGTTGGTCGGCACTGTGGGTCCTACTCCTAGTGACCTCTCTATACATAGTAATGTTTTCCTTTTTCTTTTTTCTTTGTATGGTCTGAACCTTCTTCTAGAATCATCTTTCATGTCTCATTCCACTATTGCAATTTTGGGGGTTTTTTCCCTCATTATTCAGATCTCAGCTGCAGTGTAACTTCCTGAAAGTCCCTCTCCAACTACACTATCTAAAATAGATACACCAGCCATTGCAGTGCATCATATTACCTATGTACTCAAGTATAAGCCGACCCAAATATCAGCCGAGGCACCTAACTTTACCACAAAACTGCATTAAAAATGTGCACAAAACTCGGCTTTTACACGAGCATATCTTTCGTAGCATTTGGTACCATCAAAAATATCATAATCATTTCATATGCTGTTGTTAGGTGTCATTAAGCGGTGCTGACCCATAGTGATACGATGTGCCACAGATGAAACTCTGCCCAGTCCTATAAGATCCTTACAATGTTTCCTGTGCTTGAGCCAACTGGGGCAGTCACTGTGCACATCCATCGCATCAAGGGCTTCCTCTTTTCAATGGCCTTCTACTTTACCACGCGTAATAGCCTTCTCCAGGTACCAGTCTGTCCTGACACCATGTCTAAAGTATGTAAGAATTCTCACCATCTTTGCCTCCATGGAGCCCTCTGTCCATACTCCTTCCAAGATAGAGATGTTGGTCCGTTAGACAGTCAAGGGTACTTTCAATATTCCTTGCCAGCACCACAATTCAAACACACTGATTTTTCTTCAGTCTTCCAATGGTTAATTTCCACATGCATATAAGGCAACTGAAAATACCATGGCTTGGGTCTTGAGCACCTTAGTCTTCAAAGTAACATCCTTGTTTTTAATACTCAAAAGAGGTCCTTGTATTCAATACTCTAAGAGGTCCACCACTTATCTCTGTTTGTCACCCTGTGGTGGCATGTGTGTTGCTGTGATGCGGGAAGCGATGACACTGGTATTTCACATGCCAGCAGGGTCACCCAAGTGACCAGGTTTCAGCGGAGCTTCCAGGCGAAGAACAGACTGTGAAGAAGGAATCAGCTGCCCACTTTGGAAGAAGCAGCTCCTGGAATCCTTGTGCACAGCATGGAACCATTGTCGCAGCCTGAAGGCTAGTGAATGGAAATAGCGCGTTGTCAGAGACAGTCCCTGAGGCTCGCAAGGCACTCAAAATGTGACTGATGAGGAGCCGTGTTCTCAAAGTAGAGTTGAGCATGGTGGCGTGAACAGTAGAGTTGAGCATGGTGGTGTGAACAGTAGAGTTGAGCTTGGTGGCATAAACAGTAGAGTTGAGCA